GTAGATCAGCTTCTAGTGATGATTAATGGTTTGCCGAATTACTTTTGGAACTGAAGCCAGGTGAAAATCCATACATGTAGTCTTGTTTTAGGACAACATGACTTTTTTAAAATAATGGTGCAAAACATGATTTTGTTGCAACCCTGAATAATTAACATTTTCACAAATTTCATAAAAGTAGATACCATGTCACCGTAAAGAAATTTTTCATTTGACGAAATATTTCTGCTATTTTTTTTTACGTTAACCACATATATAAATACATAAATTCATCCCATCAAAAGAGTAAAATTTCTACAAAAAAAAACACATGGCAACGAGATAATTATAAGAATATGAATATAAAGTAAAAAGAAAAAAAAGGGGGGTATGTCAACTTCACAGCATATTAAATGATTCCCATTTTTCAGTGTGCTTCGCTAATTTGCCTCCCCCTATAGCTATCTCTTTTTCAAAATTATAAACTTGCCTAATGAGATATAGACATCCATGGAAAGAAGGTTTTTCGTTTTTTCATTTTAGAAAAGTAGATATGGCGTTTAGCTAGAAGAATAATATGATTTGTTAAATTCGAAAAATCCTTGTTCCCAAAAATAATATGTTGGTTGGACATATTACTAAGGGCTGGCAGATGAGCGAAACACACTGAAATAGTTTGCCAGAAAGTCTTCACAACTACCCGGTATACACTCACAGAGTAGATGAGTTTCATCATACGTTTCACAGAAACTGCATTTTGGTGATGTAATCAGGCTAAAGTTCATGGAATATAAATCTTTGTTTGTATAGAGAATATTATGATTTAGTTTAAATTATTTCTGTTATTTGCGTACTTTTTAATCTAGCAATAATTGTTGACAATTCTGGGCCATGTAAATTGTCATATTAATATACAAACAAATAAACTTGTTGGAATATGGAAGATTGAGCAATCATTTTTTTAGCCCCATATACAGGGTAATATAACAGCCTAAAATGCTATGTGTTCACACCTTTTTTTAAGCATAGTGTCTTTAGGCATTAGGATTATATAATAGTTATGTCTGTGCCGATACCCACTTCTCAAGGGTCATATTTAAAGGCCCAATTTACTTGCCCCGGGCAAGTGTGAATCGGAGGTGTGGCTATGCTAATGAGTGTTGTTAATCACTTGCATAGCCTATGACGCATCCTGTTTCAGCGCCCAACATCATGTGACTTTGATTGACAGTAGTTAATTATTCAAGATTAGTAGCGCATCCCTTTCCTCGGTTCCTGTTTTTGACTTTTATCCGCCAAAATCTCAGCTCATACACTATTTATTGTCTTAAATACTACACACAGTCACTGCTGTGATATTCATAGTCACATGCATCCACTTTGGCACGACATAATTGACCTGTAAATTTAAGAAAACACGTTTTTACGGGAGCTTGGCTGGAGCTGTTCACTACAGTGTGACAAGCAAGGAAATAATCCCTATTGTTTAGGAGCGTATTTATAGTATACCTGGGCCCCTTTATGCTGGTGTAACATGTTCGCATCTGCTTTTCTTTTATGTCATCGTAAGTTACGTCAGTGTTAAGGGTCACAAAAAACAAATGCTAAAATGAGTCCTTTTCTCTTTACACAATTAATGTAAAAGGATTAAAGCGTGGCAGTCGTCGCGCTGCGCATGTGCGAGATATATGGGTCTCATATAAACAAAGATGGCGACTTTAACTGTTGCGCAGATCAACGAGTATGAACTGAGATGTTTCCAAGCTTACTTAAGTAATTTTTTGTTATTGGAAGGCATCGAAAGAGTCACTGGCTGTAATCGTGCAAGTCGCACCCAGGGTAAACCCATACTTGTGATTTTCATTTGAAGAGCACATAAGATTGTGGGAAAATCAATGTTTATCAACTACAGCGCTTTAATTATTCACTGGGTTTTAAATTTTGCTTATTAAAATTCGCTAAATTAAAACCCAGTGAATATGTAAAATTTAGCATAGAACACATTATGATAAATGATAAAACCGTGAATTTGCCTGAATATGCCTGAAATGGTAAATCAGCGAAATTTAAACCCAATGAAAATTAGTCATTTTACAGCATCTCAATTTTGAAGAAAAACTGATAAGATACATGTTTGCTGATGTTATATTGATAGAAGCTTCTTTTACAACAACAATCCTTAAACAATTCTAGCCAATTGAACAAATGCTGTGCCTTTAAACAATATTCAGGAGAAACTGATATCACCCATTTTTGAACGACACCCTCTATGGCCATATAGCAGATAAACTTTTGTTTTTTTCACAAACTTATGTCAAATTGAAACAGCTTACAGAATTTCCTGACTGTCTGCTGTTGATGCCAGAGCAATATAATCTGCATAAAATAAACTGTTTACACTGCCAATTATTTCAGTTGCTGTTTATTTCAGCTAGTCCAGTGATGCACACATGGTGCTGGGCCATGCAGGCAATGTAAAAGTAAACATCGTCAAGGACACCTTTATAAATTCACTTCTGCCAATCATTTACAACTAGAAAACTGGCTGACAGGTGAAAAGAAACAACCTGTGTATAAATATTTAGATAGTCAAAGTATGCACTCTGACATGACATGTTAACAAAAAAGTCAACAACATTTATCAAGGTCATAGTTGAAAACAATAAAAAAATAAATTATTAACATAAAAAAAAAAACAAGATTTAAAAAATAAACATGAATGAACATTTAGCAAAAACTTTGATTTAAGAGATACATGTACAGTGGAGTGGGGTGGTGGTGGTAGGATGAGGGATGTCAATCTTGTGTTGAAACTATTTTGTATGAATTTAGTGACTGGAATTCATAAATACATGGTGCTCATTAGTTCTTTGAATTTATCTGTGTTTGGTACTTTTAACAAAATCATTGATATGTTTGGATACTTTATCAAATATAACCTTGTAATGCATCAGTGTATTGACATGTAACAAGGGCACTTATACACTCAATACACAGTTATCTTGTTCACACAAGAGCATTTGCTAGAGCCCAACAGCTCAAGCTGACACAAGCTGAGTTATTTAGGGGCATCATTCAAGCTCAGCTTTAAATGATCATGTTTGGACACAACTGTATAAATGAACAAGAGATAATTTACTGTTAATTGGTGGGATAAGAATTAATTGGACTAAGATAAAATACTGCAGTTGTTAACCTAGCATACAACAATGTATATACTTCTCAGGTATATTCACTTCACTGTGAATTACCCAGAATACTTAGCCTGAGCATACTGAGTGAGTATATAATGATGTTACCAGATATAGTTCAACAAAACCAATTCTCACTATCTATACCTCATCTGCCTATGCAATATGCCTTTCCAATAAATTGCTCCCTCTAGTGGCAAACTGCTGCTTTTATACAGCCAATCACAGGCGTACAATTCTTTGGAAGTCAATTACTCATACTTTTGGAGGAAATTTTGATACAAATCACAATGACTAATTCATACTATGAATGACATTGTTTTTCATGCAACGACATCATTTTCTTGTCGTAACATTCTTAGTATATATAGGATTTAATTAATTTGCATTTCATGGTGTGAAATCAGAGAGAAAAGAGAAATGTTTCTTTACCAGTGTAATATAAATCTCTGGAAACAGTCAACGAAATTTCAAATCAAAAAGCTGCACATACTGCATAGTTTAAGACAAGATGAGTCATTAGGATAAAAATAGATCATCACAGAAACTGATTGTTGCCATGGTAACAATCACATATACCCACACACTATATTTTTATATTATATTACCTAATATACACATTTAATATACAGCTTACAGAGAAGTGTATTTTAATTTTTGTTTCCAGTAAGCAGCAAATAAGAAACCACCTGTTGCTATAAAAGTTAATACATAACACCCTGGTAAACAATTACAGTATGTGTCTACCTACTCAAAAACCTGTGAACAATTTTATTGTGTTTGTGTAGCCAGTCATGTGGCTGAACCTTTTAGTCACTTCCTGATCACAATAGAAACTATAAACATATGTACCTTAGGCTGTGATACTTTAAAAAAACAATTGCAAATGATTAATATCAGTTTAAGGTGGTTTGGAAAAAATAAAATAAAATATTTTAGCTGGAACTAATTTTCACTGAAAAGACCTTTTTCGTGTTTTGTATGGAATTTAATTTTCACTGATTTTTGACAAGTTGAATGTAAATATAGCAAAAAGGATATATTTGCTGGATTTTATTTTCGCTGAATTTCTATGGTCTTAATGAGTCAAATTACAATAATCCAGTATACAGTAAACTTTTAGTTCACTTGTGCTTCTATTGGAGATGTACTTCTAACACATCAAGTATATGTGGTCATGAGAACATTTTTTGAGAAAATACATTTTGTCTTGTTTTTTCATTTTTATGGTTGAACATTTATTTTATATTTGGACGTTTGGCTTCGTGACATAGGGTGAAAAATGAACTCCTAACACTCATTTATCAGCTGTATAATTTATTAGCAATAGAAAGTAGCATTAAAATAATAATAACTACTTTATTGTATCAAAATATTTCTATAAAACTATAGCAACTAAGACAATACCAGCTGGAAAATATCAGTGTGATCCAAATATGACATAATGATCTTACATGTAATCAATACTTGGACGAATCTCAAAAAGTGCTGCATTCCAGTACCTCCTTCTAGTTCTGGTACTGCTTGATCTAAGCAGATCATGCACATTAATCTGCAAGTGTTTGTAACATACTGGCATTCCTACACTTGTGTCTGTGATTCAATGCATCTACCGGGGCATGTATAAATTAACCAATATCGTAATACTTACGCCCAAATGATCAAGAAGTTTGTATGACTTAACCATATGCTTTGCATGACATTACATGAAGGTCAGACAAACATCATCAAAGTCCTTCCAGAATGTCCAGCATTGTGGGTGCTATTCGTATGCAAATAACCAAAGTATTCTGGTGAGCTGGCAGTGCAAAGATTACACACAATAGTAAGCCCTTACATCAGAAGACGTAGCCTTGAATCTATACTTTCAACTGTCACAGATAGTACTGACTACAACACCAATGTGCACTTGACAATCTTAGGATCCTGTCTTTGCTGCTGATAGTGATATAAGGTAGATTTGTTTTCAAGTTACTTTATGGGCAACACAAATAACTTTCCTATCCTATACCACAACTTGTTCAGGGGCGTGTTTTCATAGTCAACAGGAGTTCCACAGATAATGCATTAACTTTCATTATTGTTGACACAATTCAATACCAACACATTAATAAGACCACTTATTCAAGTTTAATGTATATTTGGCTCAATTTAAACTTATATTACAACAGAAAGAGGAAACTGCATGCGTACTTGCTTTAGTCAATTGACTGAATGAGTTCAACAAGAGAAAGGGAGGGACAGCCATGTTAGCAAAACAAAGCTTATAAACTCGTGGGCCTTTGGGTACCGAAAGCTGCGACTATAGCTGTCAACAGATACACGAAACATTTTGTGCGCTCTTAAAGTGATTTAATCTACACACAATGGTTTCCTTTATTACTGTGATATTATGCTAAGCCCACCGATTGTATTTCTATACATCAACACGGTATTACTGTTATCTACTCAACACAACCAAAGTGCCAAATGTTTTCAGATCACAAATTAGAGCTCTACTGGGTTAAATAGGTGATAAAAATGGTGCTGTGGGAGGGGAACATGTCCCTTCCAAAGTGAAAGCAAGTTGTTAAACATTATTTGTAGGACCTTTTCCCCATTTACTATAAAGGCTTAAATTATTGACTAGTACGTCAAGAAGAATGTCCTTTCAATGCCCAAATCAATTTTTGTCATCTATTGCAAAATTAACCCTAGTAATAGTTTCAATATTTTTGCACAATTTTTTGTAGCAAACTGTAAATCACTTCAATTTGCTCCAAAATTATTATGGACAAATATTTAAAAAACGTTGCATCAAAATTGGCTGTTGGCTGGAAAAATTATGGAATCAATAGATTTTCTGAAATTTTCTGTGAACTGTGGCAGTCTGAAGAAAAACTACATTTTTATACTGCACATGTCAGTAATTAGAAAGGCCATGATGAAGTGATAAACAGTTGAATGTCATTGTTGTTGCTACAATTGATTTTTATTGGATGGTGGGGGGTGTGTGTAGAGTAGTTTTGTAGTTTTCATGTAGCTATGCAACAGTAATGTAATGTTGTAATGAGATCTCTATGGTGTTGGGTCAAGCAAGATTATCAGAATTAAAATAGAAACACCTCACGACAAACACAAATGACATACATTTGCTCATTTCTCTGGAAAACTTGCACTGCTGTCAACAATTAATGAAGTATTACCTGCTAAAAAGTCACAGGGCTAAATTTAACGATTTAGTTATTTAGTTAAATTAGACATTTTCTCTTAGTTTCTAATAATAAATTAAAATTAAATTAAATCAGTTAATGTACTCAACGACTTAAATTCCGCTGATAAAATGTTCCACAACTAGATGATTTCAAATATGGACACAAAGAGACTTTTTAATATTAAGAATCCAGGTGAAATATTCTCTGCTATGATATTTCCTGATTTACATAAACTAGCAAAATTTGCGCCTCTTGGTGTAAAGCATCTTTTGTATCACCTTGGAAAACTGCCACCAAGACTAATTATATAAAATATTCCAGACCTTTGTACCCTACGATAACTTAAGCCTCAGACTTGTATTACTAGTCTGAGCTTAAGAACATAGTTTCACTAAAGGTAACATTAACTACTAGCTTTTAGCCAGTCACTTCATTTCAGAGTAATTTGATTCTAAATATAGATTGTACATTTACAGTCCACCCTTTTCTTCTCAACTCTAAGAGCAAGTAAGGTTTGTATGCTTAAAAATCACTGACCCAAAAAATGAAATCAGCATAAATGCCCATATTTGACATCACTGATAAGCATCCATAGCAACAACTTACCTTCACTTTGAATCTGCAGGTGTGTATATTGGTAGTTGGCATTCTCAGTTAAGTAATGTTTGTTCATCAAAAAACGTGCTTAAGTGATTGTTGACAAGCTTTAAAAATCGCTGACCTTTTACAACTAGAGAGGTTTATTTCTATATAGTAGCCTGTAGCAGGAGAGAGAGAGTGACATGAAGGAATCCAAATGTTCAACAAATTTTAAATTTCTTTTGTACAAAATACCAGTACATGTATATGGCAAAGACAATTTATTAACTACCAGTACAGGGTTAGATGAATTTACAAACTAATATTACTATATTAATTTAATTTAAACTACCAATACAGGCCAATTCAATAACTACTACCGCAGGGATAGGCCAACTCAATAACTACCAATTCAGGGATAAGGCAGTTCAATAACTACCAATACTGGGATAGGCCAAGTCAATAACTACCAGTACAGGGATAGGCCAATTCAATAACTACCAGTAGAGGGATAGGCCAAGTCAATAACTACCAATTCAGGGATAAGGCAATTCAATAACTACCAGTAATGGGATAGGCCAATTTAATAACCACCAGTACAGGGATAGACCAATTCAATAACTACCAGTATAGCGATAGACCAATTTAATAACCACCAGTACAGGGATAGGCCAATTCAATAACTACCAGTATAGCGATAGGCCAATTTAATAACCACCAGTACAGGGATAGGCCAATTCAATAACTACCAGTACAGGGATAGACCAATTCAATAACTACCAGTACAGGGATAGACCAATTCAATAACTACCAGTACAGGGATAAGGCAATTCAATAACTACCAGTACAGAGATAGGCCAATTCAATAACTACCAATACAGGGATAGGCCGAGTCAATAACTACCAGTACTGGGATAGGCCAATTCAATAACTACCAGTACAGGGATAGACCAATTCAATAACTACCAGTAGAGGGATAGGCCAAGTCAATAACTACCAATTCAGGGATAAGGCAATTCAATAACTACCAGTAAT